GAATGCATCGTAGGACCTCATTGTGTCTTCTAGTATAGCCGTGATGTAACATTTTTTCGCCGCACTGCGTCGCTAGATGGTCCACCGTCTTCACACGTTTGCCAAAATGTAATTTGATTATATATATATATATATATATAAGCAAAATATATAATATTTGTAATATATAGTATTATTTGTAATACTACAAATACTTTCAACTACATATAATATTTACTTAGGTAAGAAAATGTGTAAAAACTTCAACTTCTATTACTTTCAATTTACACTTACATGAACAAGCTTTACTTTTACAGTAAAAGAGCCATCAGCATCTGCCATCCAGAAGAAAGATAAAACTGAAAGTGATGGATCTCTATCAAGTGCTAAAGAAATACCACGATCTGAAAAGTTGAAAACAGAGTACACAAAACGTAAAAATCAAATGAAAGGTATAAATTAACTACCTGATATATTATTTGGTTCCGTGACATTATTTACGGAAAAAATAAAGTATTGTGGTACGAAGGATGTCAAAGGGAAACCTGCAGCATTAAGTTCGATCCTTGTTGAGTTCGTATCAAGATCAAAATTTATTTGAACACCTCTATTATTCAATGTATTATCATTCCATTCTTTGGATGTCGTTCCCTTTAGATAAAAGGTTGATACAGGAGCTAGAAAAGATATTCTTTTTTATATAATTATTTTATGTGCTAAAGATATATCTGTTTATACATGAGTCGTATTTTATTACTTGTGAAGATTACTGACCATTCAACTGAAAAAACCTGAAGTGTTTACCAGCTTGAAATCGACTATAATGCTGCAGAGCATACTGCGCAATTTGAATAGGATAAAAATAAGGAACTGACGACCACTGTGTTGACAATGGAACGCCTGAAACAAGTTTTCATAAAAGCAAAGTAGCGCATTGCAATGAAAGAAAAAGGTCACAAAATTACATTTAATAATTTCTTCTTTTCATAACTAGAATTGATTAAAAATTTTCAAACCATATAGTAACGTCCAAAATGAAAAATTAAAGTGTGAAATACTCAGAGCAAAAAGAAAAAGCAAGAGCTGAAGTAATAGCTCCCTTAAGCTATATCATTTTCATGTTATCACACTGAATAAAAGCATGCTTTAAAATACATTTCAAATTCTTAAACGAAACTGACCAAACTGCGCACTGATGCAGCGAACACGATCTCTAGTTTCTACGCTATATGATGCAAAATGACCAAAAGCTCCACGGAAATCATAGTGAGTGAAATTTGGAAAACGAATTCGAGCATGTGATGTAGACCATTCGAAATGTTTTACATCCAATTTGGATGCTAGAAAATATGAGTGTCCATGCTGTGCCGAGTATGATCATTCAGACTTACAAACCATCAATTATTTCTACTTCCATTACGACTACTTAAAATAGTCCAAAAGAGGACAGAAGTATTAATGAAATAAATCTAACCTTTTGTGAATTTTCCTGAAACATCTAGGTGCTTCTTCAAGAAAGAGTTGAAAGGAAAGTAAACTTCATCAGCAAATTTATCAAGATAACACTGATAAGTCTTCTTATTATCGACTGTGCACGAAACTTTTTCCAAAGAGGGCTTTCCATTTTCAATTGCATTGTCCTGGAAGTGATGTGATATGGCTGAATTAACAAAAAATTCTATTTCTACCATAAAAACCTCAATGCACAATATAAAATGTCATAACTGATGTAGATGAATGTAAAAATGAAATAATCCTGAGATTATCATAACTATAATTGCCAATTTGAACAAAGAAAAAATGCTTAGGAAAGTAAACATCTTATTGTCATTAGAGTTTAAAGTTTAATCTATTCATAGTTGCTCAATGAGTCTTATTTATCTAATGTAGTGACTGAAATAAACAGAACAAAGGAAATATATCTCTACGAGTATTCAGTTATATCATTTATGAAGATTTAAAAGTTTTCGAGCTTTAATTTTACAAATCACCTACCGTCGAAATTAAACATGGCAAAAATGTAATGTGAGTCGGGAATGCCTGCTTCCGAATTCGCAAGATCCACAAACAAGATAATGAAAAGAACGCCAGCAACACTGCCAGAATGAATCGTAATTTAATTCTCAACATATCTTTCACAGAAAAATGCAGATAGGAACCATAGCTGCCACTAATAGAACCATAGCTTCATCAAATCATTATTACATAGTTTATTGCTAAGCACTGATGCTTCTGCCTCCGTTAAAATAACCAGCAAAATAATATCAAATAGAAAGCGACTGAATATGCAAAAATTACACTAAATTTAGACATGCTATCAGTCATTATTTGGATAAAATTAATGGACAGATTTTAAATTACAAGAAGCACTACTAAAATGAATTAAGAGTAGTAAATAAAACTGCAAGCCTTCCATTATTTTATGAAGTCCTAACGCTTATTTTTTACCTTTAATCTGAATAATGGAGATATCCATGACTTTCTGTCAAGAGTTGAGACAACTTGCAATTTAGACAATACTTGACCTTCCACATCTTCCTCTTCTCTGCTCCGCACACAAATTTAACCCAATCAACTCTCATTTAATGATAAACTTAAATGGCACAATTTCAGTTGAAAAAAAAGTAGCACAAAATGAAAATGCAAATTTACATCTCATCAAAGTTATTTGCAATTTGTAATCTTTAAAATATAATTGTCGGTGAGAGTCGAAATTTGCTTTAGTTTTGGATAATGAAGGTTTTGGTAGTTTAATTTAGGAGGTTGGAAAATGTTCATCAGTTAATACAAGATGATAATAGATAAACTAAAATGCATTCCTTCGTCATGAACAGTCTTATACTCATTTTTCATGTTTAATCCTCAAAACCCTTTCCATTACTAAATTATTTCTAAAGGAATTTCTCACACCACTAATTGGTTTCTATTAAGTTTGATTTTGCTTGTTGCTTCATTTTTTGTAATTATTGAATTTCACCTCCGTAATGTTTAAAATCGAGTAATTGTAAAAAACTGACAATTATACTTTCCCATTACTAGCTATAATCAAATGAGGATCCTTTTTTACAAAAACTAATAATCAAATGAATTCTAATTAGAACTTAACAGTATTGATTACTCTGTTAAGTTCTTATTAGAATTCATTTGATTATATCTAGATTGGGAGATTATTATATTATGACTAGTATATATAGTCTTGTGTAAGCGTGAAAAACCTAACACTATTTTTTAGTTTGGATTAAATTTTTAGTGAGTGTGCATGACTTCTAAGGTCTGTTCGCTTAAGTTATAGATACAGTTTTATTTTTGATCAAAAGCTCATTTTATCAATAAATTATAAAAGTTAGATTTACTAACAAAATTCAGTGACATAAATTGTTATTTTTAACCCATATAAACAATGAGCTCTATTACACTGCAACCAAGTAATCTCGAAAATTTTAATGCTGTTGAGGTTAAGTTAGCACAAAAAATTGAAGACTATTAAATGATGTGAAAAGTTATTTATAGCTCAAAATCATAGAATTGTAAAAAGTCCATTCATGTGATACACATATTTTAGCAATGATGCTGTTTCATCGGCAGAATTGATCCTATAAATTAGCAATTTCTATGCATTTTATTGCTTTGAATAATCTGAAAGGCGCCGATTAACTTGAAATGTTTTTTTTAATAATTTGATGACATTTTTAGAAGTTTTTGGTATTACTGTTGGAAATTCTCCGAAAAAATTCTCTATGTTTCATCTACGACTTGCAAACAATGCCTCTTTATTTTTGCTTTCACAGCACTCGCTTTTTTCTAATGTGTAATGTAGTAATAAAATTAATTGTTATGCAAATTATAAGGTTCTGGTAAAAAATATGTCATTTTTTTCAAAAGTCATTCTTATAATTTGCCTAAACGGTGAGTGGAACTTACTGTTGCTTTGAGTGTTACATTCTTATTTTGCAGTAAATAATATTTCCTCATTCTTCCATTTTTGATTAAACTATCAGTTTAATCAAATAAAAAGTTAACAATTTCATTTAATTACAAATTTCTCAGTAGTAAGTAGAAATTGAATCAATTAAAACTGATTCATCATTAAGAGGTCGGCGCAAACGTAAAAGTCATTATAATGTTTACCATTATTTACATTGTAATTCGTCAGTTAAATCAATCTATGAACTGAGTAATGAATTGCTGTTCCTGATATGCAGTATCGTAATTTAATTCTCAACATATCTTTCACAGAAAAATGCAGATAGGAACCATAGCTGCCACTAATAGAACCATAGCTTCATCAAATCATTATTACATAGTTTATTGCTAAGCACTGATGCTTCTGCCTCCGTTAAAATAACCAGCAAAATAATATCAAATAGAAAGCGACTGAATATGCAAAAATTACACTAAATTTAGACATGCTATCAGTCATTATTTGGATAAAATTAATGAGAGAGGTCTTTGAAATTTAATTGTTGAAATATATTGTTTTAAGTAATATTACTTTTGGTCAAATTAGCGAACATGCTCGCTTAAAAAGTTAATTGAAAAAGAATAATAAAAATGAATTTAAAAATGATTAAAAATGGCTAGATTTAATTGAATTCAATTGTATAATCGCAGTTTCTGCTTTCTTGCCTTTTTTATTACTGAAGCATAGTTCATAAATTTTTTATGAAAATATATGACAGTAAAGTTTTCGTAATAAGAAGATCGTTTCGATAAAAAATCAGTCTTTCTCACAGCTTGTATTATAAATGATTGATAGCATAAACTTAAGATTGAGACTTACTGATAATAATAATGGCAATACTGATAACATTTTATCAAGATCAATTTTTTTGATCATTAAGTTTTTTTGCTGCAATTTCTTTTACTATTAAAATGCTCTGATATTGATGACTTGTACTGATCAGAAATGAAATTTCTGTTTAATAAAAAATTCTCTTTCTAAAAATAATAAAGCTTTGTTCACGCAGCTCGTAACTGTTCAGTTTCATTTTCTCGTTTTTTGCCAAAGTTTCATTACAAAATAAAATGGAAATCGTAAAATTAGAAAGAAATGATCTAACTGTCAGTTTTGCATTTCATTCTTAACCTTCATTTTGTCTTTGCTGAATTTATTTTATTTATTTAAAAAAAGCATTAAATGATCAAAATTACTCAGTGTTCCGTCTTATTTCATTCTGGCAAAGTCAACATGTGCTTCTTTCATTACTTTAGGAATTGTTCTGATTAGTGTTCACATTTAGTACACAATTTATCACCCTTATCATAGTGATGAGCAATCAACGTGTCAGTTATGTTACCTAAGCTCACAATCAAATCCTTTTTTGTTTAAATTTTCGTGCAAAAACGAATTAATTAGAGAAAATTGTTGATTTCTTGAAATATGTAAAGTGAAAGTTAAATGCGAACAATTTCATATTGACTTATGCCTTGATTTCAGTTTTTTCGTTTTAATCTTAAATTTGTTCAGTCTTTTCATTCATACAGAATTTTATTTTTGTGTTGTCTTTAGATCCATCAGAATAATGCTACGTTCTTAGCTTTATTAGCTTATTAGTTCAGACCTGAAAAATTTTATGCTGTTTAGGACAATGTTCAAATATTTCAGAAGTTATTACAGCAGTTATACTAGTTGCTTTCAGGAATTATCTAAAGTTTTCTGAGATCATAAGTTCAAAATTAATGACGAACGATAAGGTACTAATTGGAGCCATTGATCAGGGCACTTCTAGCACTCGATTTTTGATTTATCAATTCAACCCTATGAAAATTATTGCTAGCCATCAAGTAATTCTTTGTAATGTGGAAGAAATAATATAATTTACAAAAATTTTGAAACAGTGTTTTATTAATTTTGATTTATTTTCAGTTGCTAACATTATTTCCAATTCAAACTCACATTTGACTCTTATTCAGCGATGTAAAAAAATTTAAAAATAAAAAGTAATTAACTTATGAAATTGTTATTTTTGTTCATTTTATGCCAAATACTTAAAAATTTTTATAAATAAATAAGTAAAGATGCAATAATTTTAGCAAAACAAAATTTAGATTATTTTATGATGTACTATGTTCTGGTATGCAAAAGCACGAAGCATTTAAAATAAGCAAGTGTATAACATAAAGAAGTTTTATATTAGCATAAATAAAATTATTTCGAGTAATTAAATTATATAGGCTTTCTGGTAAGCTAACTAAAATGATCAAAACAGATTGAGATCAAGCAGTATTTCCCACAATCGGGATGGATGGAAATTGATCCTGAAGAAGTAATCTTTACAGTGATAAAATGTATGGATGAATGTTATAAAGTAATTCAAGATAGAGCTAATTTAGAGTCCACACAAATCAAAGCAGTTGGAATAAGCACTCAACGAGGTCAATTGTTGGATGCATTTGTAAAACTTTGAAACAACAAGTTTAATTTATTGTTTTAAATAAACAATTTAAAGTATTAAAAAATAATGCAGTTTTTAAATTAAAAATCAGAAGAGAAAGGAGTTGAAAACATAATACTTATTTTGTTAATTATCAATAGTATTTTGTTTTAATAGAAAATTCGTGACTTCTCATCGTTCAATGGGAAGAATTTTCGTCACACTTCCAAAAATAAAAATTCTTAAATTTTTGTTAACAAAATAAATTTTGAAAAGTTCTTAACTAAATCTTATTTTCCTTTTGTGAAAATTTGCATTAAATAAATAAATAAAAAAATATATAAATATAAATAAATATATATATATGATTTAAACTTGTAGAAACAACTGTTTTATGGGATAGTGAAACAGGTAAGGCTCTTTACAATGCAATAGTTTGGCTGGATAGTCGAACTGCTGATCTAGCATTAGAATTTATCGACAAAACAACTTGCAAGCAAGTTTGAATTTGTATTTTTTCTCGAAGTCATTCAAGTCAATTATCATTTAGACTATTTGAAAATTTGAAGACGTATTAATGCAAAGAGTTTGGAGGATAAATTAATCTGTACTTTTTGCTTTTGAAATTTTATTCATTGAAATCGAAATAAACGAAAAACAATCGAGAATATTAGATTATAATTTGTAATTTCTTGCAAAAACTATGTAACTTGCAATAAAATTTTGTTCGCTTGAGACACACTAAAGTACATATTAATTTATTTTAAAGTGGAACCCATTGTATCATGGTTATTTTTGATTCAATTAATGGTGCTTTTAAAGGGAAGTTTTCAGATGCAAAGAGCATTTCAAGGATATTACTGGTCTTCCTATACATCCATACTTTAGTGCTCTGAAAATTCGCTGGCTTTTAGATAATGTTCCGAGTGTGCAAAGTGCTTTGAAACGAGGTATATTGTCTCAGAAATACAAAAGAAACTTTAAAACAGTAACAGAAAATACCAGTCGTTTATTATCTAATTTCAATACTGGTATTATGTATTACTCAACTTATTTGATTTTTTTTACAATTACAAATCCTTGAAATTATTTACTAATAATTATTTGCGTTCAGCTTTACTAAGTGCGAAACCATTTGCTTTTGTTAATTGGAAGATAATATGGACCTCGAAATCTTCTTGCATAAAATTACACATTTATCTTATTACAAAAAAATGTTTTTGATTAATGATCTTTATCCATATCGATTCTGGTACTTGATAAGTAAATTTTGTCGAAGAAAGTACCAAATAGCTTGAACCAAGGAAAAAATGATGCTGACGACAGTGCTGTTGAAAAGAAAAAACTTTGTTCCAAATTTAGTAATAGCTTTGATACACGTTGTTTTAAGGGAAATTGATGTTTGGTACAATAGATTCGTGGATAATTTATAAACTAACAGGACGGCACATTACAGACGTTACGAATGCCAGCAGAACACTTTTAATGTCTATTAAGGCATTAAATTGGGATAAGAGTCTCTGTGATTTTTTTCAAATTTCAATGGATATTTTGCCTAAAATACATTCTTCCGCTGAAATTTACGCTACGATAAGCACAGGTCTGAATTATTTAATGTCAAGTAATCAATATGATTAGTTTCAAAAAAATAGAAGTTGGAATGAACTTGCAAACAAGAAAGTGATGCCAACAGAAGTAAAATGCCACGTATCGTTGTTGTCATGAAGAATAAAAGATTATGCCAGTTCATCAATGACATAAATATTTGAGAAAAAATGATTAAATAGTGCTTTAAATACTTGATAATGATTGTCAAGTATTAAGGGAATATTTTCAAATTTTATTCAAAAATTCCTGTAGAAACGAGACAAAATTTAAAAGTGAAGAAATACTTTCTTTATATGGTAACTATTTTGCAGTTATTTCATTCTTAAATTTAATTTATTATTGATTTTGTCAACTCGTCATCATACAATTTGTGTTACATTTCAGGCTGCTTTAAAGGAGTACCATTATCAGGTAGTTTGGGAGACCAACAAGCTGCATTGTTCGGTGAGCACTGCTTGGAATTGAGTGAAACAAAGTGTACATATGGTACAGGTACATTCATGCTTACCAATATTGGCAATAATATAATTATCAGCAAAAATGGTCTCCTTACTACAGTAGCTTATCAAGTAAGTACGATAGTTTTCACTGACTATTTTTGTAGAACCCTTTAAATTAGATAGCAATGAAACACCTTTTAAATAAGGTATTTTATATAAAACTACTAAAAATCAAAAAAGAAAATAACAAAAAACAAGTTAATATGAAAACATGATTACTGTTTCAAGCTTGGCCCAAATGCAGAAGTGTGTTATGCGCTTGAAGGTTCTGGTTCGATTGGTGGAAATGCTATTCGGTTTCTACGTGATAATTTGCAAATTATTCAAGTAAATGCATTTTCTTTGCAAATTATGCTACAAAATGCAGTATGAAATAAATAAACGATAATGAAGTAAAGAATAATAGCATAACAAAATGAGTGATTTGTAAATAAAACAAAGAAACTGAATCAAACATTCATGCAAAGTAATGATTGCTTCTCAAGGATGCATCTGAAGTGGAATCAGCAGCGTTTTCTGTGTCAGAAACAAATGGTGTTGTTTTTGTACCTTGTTTTACTGGACTATATACACCGTACTGGGATTCAACAGCTCGAGGTATTCTTTGCGGTCTTACACAAACGAGTAAAAAAGCTCATATCGTTCGAGCTGCTCTTGAAGCTGTTTGTTTCCAAACTAAAGAAATGATCGACGCTGTTCAAGCTGATTTGCCCCATGATTGGAAAATCAAAACACTCAAAGTAAGTCGCTTTAATTAACAAAAAACAAATATATTGCAAGCATCAAAACTATGCATATAAGTGCAAAAACGTAGAACTGCATATTATGTACATAAGTATTTACAATATTTTGCTAAAAATTTTTTCATCAATCTCTCACTAAATAAAACCAAAAAAAATAATTAGCATTATTAAAAAACAATAAAATGTCTTGAAATGTGTCAAATTTTGAAAATTTTGCCAACTATGAAATTTAAGATTGATGGTGGTATGACGGTGAGTTCAATGTTCCCACAATTACTGAGTGATATTGTGGGATTAGATGTAATCAAGTCAGCTCACACTGAGGCTTCTTGCTGGGGTGCTGCAATGGCTGCTGCTATTGGCGCAAATATTATAAGGTATTATTACATGTAAATCTTTAGGAAATGCAAAAATGTTCCTTGAAAATAACAGAAAAACCTCAACAAGATAGTTTATAAATAATAAAAATTATTCAAAGCTATGCAATAATAAATTTCTTAAAGCTAATTTCAAAAGCATAACCATTTTGTGCCCATTAAATTTTTGAAAATACACATAAACCGCTAAAAATAGTTTTGAGATATGACAGATAAGTGAAGGTACTAGTAACTTTATCTCTATGCTCAAAAATAAATTTTGACTTATAATTCCTTTCTCATTTTTTAGAAGAATGAAAAAATAAGAAATTTCTTACCAAACTTTAAAAATAACTGATTATTCTTTAATATCTTTTTTTAAAACATGCAAATGTGGCAAGCAAAGTAAATGAGAGAGCAGTCTAAAGTTTAACATCCAATTTTTTTACTATTAGAAAGTTGAAATTGAAATGATTAAAGCGAATTACAAATGTATAAAGAAATGAATGAGTAATTAAATAAATGAAATTTGATAACATTATAAATACTATCAGTGAACAGTTAGATAATATGCCATCATATGAGTTTGAAAAAAAAGATGAAAACTGCTGTCACGTTGAGCATCATGAAGAGATTTGAAATAACAAAGAAGAGTTTCTGACGATTTTTTCCATTTTTATTCAAAAAAAAAAAGCAAAAAGGTTCCTTCGAAAGAACTAAGGCGAGCGAAGAGAAATAAGAAAATTGCAAGACAAATCTCAAGCTTGAATAGACTATATTATAGTTTAGATTACAATCATATGATGGAAGTAAATTGTGCTTAATTCAATACATATTTGTTGAACCTTTTGTTAGATAGTGAAATGAAGCAAATTACAGTTTTCAAGAAGCTAAAGGATATCGCGTGAAAGACGTACACATTCAGAAAGCTAACATATCAACAGAACAACGTCAGCTGATGATCCACAGGTGGAAAGAAGCGATACGTCGAGCACGCGGCTGGCTTCACACAGATTAGGCGATTGTTATTGTACACCACAAATATGGCATCAATAATGATGTAGGGAGAAAATCTGTATGTCGTTTAATCGGACTGCATCCTACTTCAACTCCTCGATTACAACTAGTTGTCATTATGAGTGATTCATTTATAGCAAATACTATGAGGAAACTTTCTCATATATTCGAATCTAACAGAAAATGCAGTACAATGAGCTCGCGTCAGCTCAATTTCTGAGCTGAATATGTTCGTAACTGAATAAATCATTTGCAAAAATTTTCAGCTTTCGTATTATAATACACAGAAACAAAGATAAATTCAGTAACTTTTATCGTATGAAGTATGAAAGTTTTGTCAAGTTGAAAACATTGAAACAAATGTCCACAGTTTACGACACCACACTGAAATTAATATACTACAGAAAAGCTTACCAAGAAGACAACTGCATCACCAGAGTAATGTCAATAACAGCAATCAATTATGAAAGGAGCTATCACAAAATTTCAAGTAGTAGACCGTGAAAAATGAAAAATATAACGGAGATCTAGTTGGTAATGCTTCAGACATGTATACATCGATGCGTAATTTTTTATATCACAAAAATTGCAATGCAGAACTACTTTTTGGTATCAATATTAAGAAGAGAAATAAACGGATAGAGGAAGAATATGATAATGCAAAGTTTAAGGGAGGCAAAAACAATATCTTATTATGGCACTGAACTGAGAATATCTCTAGGAGCTTGAAAACAGTTCAATAATACATGAGCAATACTGTGATTGGAATGTTATGAAAATAAAAACTTTAAAGTATGACAAGACATAAAACTCCTTGTCAGTTATTCATCATATTTCCTTATTTTTCCTCACCTGTTGCCTCTTTATTTAAATAAAAGCACTGTGAAACGCACGATATTGTCTACTTCACTTTGATAAAATATATGACAAAACACAGCTGTGTGAAAGCTTCCGTTCCCGCCAATACTACAAAAAAATATCAAAAATTTCCCAGTTCATCCATTATGAGAAAAACACTGTGATGGAAAAAATTTCGTATGGAATGAAAAACTGGAAACTGGAACGCTGAGATCCCCGTAATTTCACTAGCATTTCCGAAATAACTGCTTTACTTTACAGAGTCAAACATAACTTCCAAATTACCAGCTCAAAACTCAAAATTAGGAACAACACAAAATAGACAAGGCAGAAGCGAGAGGGGCAAAAAATGAGGTATGCCGTAGGCAGTGAATAAATTGTTGAAAACTAATTTCCTTTACATAGAATCTTAATGTAAAATTGGGAAGTAATTTAGTTTAAAATTAGTATTTCATTTCA